CGGAAAGGAACAACGGCGAGGACGGGAAAACCTGGATCTGACCGTGGTTTGCCGCCACGTCTGGTAAGCCCTAGACCTGCGGAGATGGAACGGAATTACGATTGGCCAAATAGCGGCCAAAGGAGGACGAAAAGACAGCAAGAAGTGAAGCCCGGCGAGCAGTCGCTGACGTGCGTCGTGGAGGGCAACTGGCACCCGCAGCCACCAGAATTTGCAGATCCACACGGACCCTAAGGGCTCTCACTTTCGAATCGGCGGCGTCAGAAGCAACTGAAGCGAACGAACGTGCTAGGAGGAGCATACGAACTGGTGTACTCGCCACAGCAGGTGGGGACACGAAGCGAACGAACGAACGACTGTTGACGGACCCGCTGCTCGGGTCACGACAATGAACAAAGGACTGAGGTCGCCTGAAGACGCCTGCAGCGTGGACGGCGAGCCTCGACACAGAACGAACAGCAGTATCGAGGCTGGCGAGCGCGCGGACGAGTGGACAGCGGTTACGGACAGAGTGTGCGTGGTGGTTGCAACGGCGAAGTGAGCCTGGGCATCTCTGCTATCTGTTCTTGCATGGCCGCGAAGCTTTGATCATTGCCACGACTTCTCCCGTCCGTCCTGTTGTTGACAGTCTGGTTGTTGGGTCGCCTCGGTGACTCCGGGTTGCACAAGCACTCATTGTCGGAGTGATTGTTTCGCTTGCAGAACTTGCAGTGCTTGTCGTTTCCTCTATCACCCTGCTGCTGTCGTGGCTTTCCACGCGAGCGAAAGTTGCTCTCGTTTTGTCTGGGGGCCTGGCCTCCGTTTCTACCCTTCCGGGGTTGCTGTGCACCTTGCCCGGTACGCTGGCGTTGCCCTCGACCGCCGCTCCTGAGCCGTTCTTCTTCTTGTTCATTGCGGTCGATCAGTTCAAGCTGATGGATTAATTCGCGGTAATCCCAACTGCGGGACAATCGATTAACCTCGATCTGCCAGTCGACAGGTATCCCACTCTTGTACATGCATATCACGTCAGAGGTTGGGACTGCTTCGTTGTCCGTTATGTACTGGAGCATGCGCTCTAGCTTTTGGAAGCTACGGGTGTACTCTCGCACGCTTATGTTGCGCGTCTTCTTCAGCGTCGTCATTTCGTCGATGATCACTCCTCGGGCTCCGTCGGGGCAGTGAACTTTGGTCAGTCGCTGCAACGCGACTAGCGCGACATCAGGGCGTAGAAGACTCTCTTCAACCACGGTGTCGTTAAGCTGCTGCAGATCCTCGTCGAAGAGGAGGATTTGGAGGTCCCCGATGAACGACCGCTGGTCTTCTTCATCGTCTGCAGTGTACATAGTACACTCAGATATGCGGAGTAGCCACTCCAGCCATTCCTTCCAGTCTCCGTCATGGAAGGTGGGCACTTTCTTCTTTTTTTACCACGGCTCCGTTGCTCTTGACCTTCATGAAGGTAACCTATGCAGCGTCGCTGCTGGACATGATGGCTGTCGGCGTGGTAAAGTCTCGTAGGATCGCTACGTATCCATTAAAGCTAACTGCCACGAGTCCTTGCTGGTAATTTTGGAGCTGATGAATTGTTGAGATTAGATGTCTAGCTTGCATCCTATCGAAGTTCCTCTGACTCGATGGTCTTATTGCATGATATGCATATGTAGACCAGCTTCAAACAGTTGTTTGCTTGCGTGCCTCCTTATCTGGTAGCTCACACTGGACTACAGCAAGCCGGAGTCAGACGGCAGCTTGTTCAGTCAAGAAAGCAATTGTGGCCGTAGTGGCAATGCCATTAGCGGAGCTACTGACCGAGTGGAACCCGTACTCAAGTCGACGATCCGCGAAAACTTTAGCGGGTTCTCCGCTCTAAAACACCAGGTTTCGGTGGTGGAAGAATCGCTGTCGCCATCGTTTGTCGATCGTGTCATGAAAACCATGGCTTCCATGTCGAACAGTCTGAAGGGCGAAAACATCTTCAAAACCCAAGGCAGAGAAAAGAAGAGCATGAGTGTGTAGCTATACCGCAACTTTAAAGTTGCGAAGCAGTTCCGCTCGACCATTTTGTCTTTGTATGGTAAACAATACCTAAAAAAAAAAACGATTCTCCGTTTGTTAATTCGCGTGGTCCACACATTTTGCTAATCAAAAACATTTTCCCACTTGTGAGCATGGCTACTTGGTTCCAGAAGGAGATCGTGCTTACGGCGCCCAGCCGCGGCTTCCATTGTGCGCTACTTTCGCCATACATGTCCTAGACTGTGTATATGACTTTTTGCTGATCTTGAGCTCTTATTTATTGCGAAAAGTGGTGACGCGCGAGGTCGAGAAGCAGGTTTGCATCCCGCTTTTCCGCATTTTTCAAACATTTTAGCATTCTAACCGTTTACTTAACCGGTATTGGATGTCACAACTGAAGATTCCGGAGCTGTCGCGTGTGAAGGTTGGTATGGCCAATCTCTTCATCAAGCACACGTCAGCGTCGCTCAGTATCAACGAGAACTGTGACCCAGACGTGCGGTAAGTATTACCTTAAGCAATTTCGTTACTTTCTAGCGCAGTTCTGCTCACTAATTTACTTACTTTTATTGCATCAGTACCGACATGGAGGGTGCGTTCAACCGTATCGTGCCCGAGTCCTGGAACAAGTAGGTACCTCTACTGAAAATCTAGTTGTTATTCTCCTTACAGTTGTTTTATAGGGAATTCTTCCGTCACACAGACGAAGGCGACGGTGAGTGGCAACTCTTAGTTCTTTTGTTGGGGGACGAAATAATTTATTGTTTTTTGGCGTAGATGACATGCCGGGACACATTAAATCGACGCTGATCGGAGCATCTGTGAACATCCCGATCACGAACGGCAAATTCAATCTTGGAACGTGGCAAGGTAAAATAAAGGCAAACATCTCGAAATTATTTGCTAGCTGCATTTTAACGGGTGAACTATTGAACTGCTTGTTATAGGTATCTATTTGTGCGAACACCGCAATGTTGGTGGTTGGGGCTCTGGCCATCAGCGTAAAGTGGTCGTCACCATCCAAGGCTCTACGGCTTAAATCGCTGCTACTTTGAGAAAATTCAAGCTCGTACCTTGCAGCTCGATCACACCGGCTGGAACAGCTTTCGACTGATGTGTGTATTCAACGAACACGGCTTCTTTAAGTGATTTATTTTTATGTTGCTCTACCTTTGCAAAAATATGTATTGTACACTTATCTCTGTCGGCTCTTTACAGTCACTCCGGAAATTTCTGTCAAGTTCGCAAAATTGGTCGTTTGAGACCATGTAGCAAGACCAGTACTCGCCACTACGAACGTGTCTTTCGCTGCATCGAAGTGCTCGTCAAAGCAATAGATGTTATGCCACGGAGGACGGACATCTGGAATCAGCTGCAAGTTATAGCACGCACAAGCACTAAACACGGGGAGATACTTCTTCGATCGATCGATCGGGATCCTCATTCCCTGTGGCGCACCGTTACGCATAAATAGCAGGAAACCAGCTAGTAAGTCGACCACGACTCCAACTCGATCTTCCTCTTTAAATGTATCCGCATCCAAGAAATTCACTTGTGCAGGGAGTTGAGGCTTGGGTCCTCGGAACGAGCCCGTCGTGATGAACCCACCTTCACAATACATGACTGCCGGCATGTGGTCACACGCTGGTGTCGGTAGCGACAGCGTCCGTTTCAAATGCTGTGCGTCCACCCCATAGTATCGGAATCCTGCTTGTGTTTGCGTAACCTCGGTGACGCCAATGTAGCTGCCTTCGCTGAGCCCGACACATTCCCAGTAGCTCACCGCCCCAGGAGCACACACCCGGTCACCAAGCATGGAACCTCCGTTGGGTCCCCAATGTGACACATAACAGTCTCCATTCTCTACCAAGTACACGTCGCCGCCATGTCTTCTAGCGTCAAAATGTAAATCGAAATCGTCTATCACACGAGATATCAGTCAGATGAAAAATACAAAAAGAGCGTAATAAATACTTACACGATGCAACTGCCTGCAATTGCCTCAGTAGTGGCAACATGACTGCAAATTGCAGAGTGTCCGAGTGCGACGATGCGGTCGAGATTTTCACGTTAGGCAACAGTGCGCGAGTGCGACTTGTTAGCCAGAACCAAACGGCGGCGCAGCCCTCACGGCCAACAGCTTTTTGGGTACACACAAGGGTGGCTACCTCGCGAGCATCCAGTAACTCGAGCAGCGGAGCCAGCGCCGCCAACGTGAAGGTTGTGGGCTCAAAGCGGGATGCACGAAGCTGCCTGACAGACGGCATCTCTTCAAATAATACTGTTGTGAATTACTTCGTACAAGGCGATTTTGTACAGCTATGATTGGCTGCAAATATTTCTGAAATATTTAATTCGTGGATAATTATTTTAAAAGATTTCTTAACACTTTTCAAAATGCACGACGCTCAGCTCTTGGCATTGGCGCCGCTGGGCCTACTGCTCGGCGTACCGTTGGGGATACTGAAAGAGAAGCTACGGAAACATTCCCTCAAGCGTTGGCTACTTGCGCTTGCTCCGTTTGCCCTCGCACCATTGGTACGAAAAACGTGTAAAAGCAAACTTGGCAAATGGTCGACTTTGCTGACATGGTCTTTAATGGAATACTGCAAATAGTTATCGGTTCGTGTTGGCGCTGTATTGGCGGGAAGTTACTTCGTTGGACGGGTGTTAGGCGCGTCGCTGGTCGGAGTGGGGCTCACGGGAGGCATTGCCACAGGAAAATCTACGGTGTCGAAAGCTTTTAGTGAGGCAGGAGCTGTGATCGTGGACGCCGATGTCGTGGCTAGAGAGGTGGTTATGCCTGGACGCGGTGCCTACAATGAAATCGTTCGCTATTTCGGGACCGGGGTGCTCAATGAAGACGACGCAACCATCAACCGCGCGAAGTTGGGAGCAATCATTTTTAGTGACCCTGCGCAACGGAAAAAACTCAATTCTGCTACGCACAAGTACATAATCTGGGAGATGTTCAAGCAGCTCGTGTATCAACGTTTGGTGTGCCGCAAGCGATTGGTGATAATCGACGCGCCGCTGCTGTTCGAGACCAAATTGCTCGAGGATTTCTGCTACCCCACAATTGTAGTGGCATGCTCGGAGAAGAACGAGCTCGTGCGACTCATGAAACGCGACGATATTAAACGAGAAGACGCTGAAAAGCGCATCAAGTCGCAGATGAGTCTTCATGTCCGTGGGTTCTTCTACGACGAGAGGATTAAAAGAGCTGGAATTAATTTTTGTGTTTTTTTTATTTCTTTTTAACAGGAAAAAGTGTTGAAGGCGCACCTAGTGATTCAGAACGATGGTTCCTTAGATGATCTGCTGATCCGAACGCGAGAAACTCTTGAGCGTACTGCCTATTTGGTCGGAGGCTCACACGAAATTCGTGGCGAACTGCAATTTTCCTAAGAACAAATCAATGAAATGGTCCAATCCAAAATTTCGTCCCAATTTCGCCACAATTCATTGCACTGCAATTATTCACCCGAGAACATGCCACGCAAAGGTGTGTCGCTCCAGGAGAAGCGCGAGCGTATCCTGCGCATCTACCACGAGTCCAAGGAAGTGTTCAATCTCAAGGAGGTGGAGAAGCTGGGCTCCAAGGCTGGTGTTGGTACGGACTTCGTAACCAGGAACATGCTCGAATAACATTAACAATTATTGAACAAACGAAATAATCAATGATTAATTGTCCGACAGTGCTGCAAACAGTCAAAGATGTGAATCAAGCGCTGGTGGACGACGCCTTGGTGGACTGTGACAAGGTGCTGTCCTCAACTGCAAACGTGTTGAGCTCTCAGCTGACCAAAAGTTGTGATATATGCAGATTGGATCGGGCAATTACTTTTGGTCGTTCCCGTCGAAGCTGTCGCAATCGAGAAAGCGCAAGCTCAGCGAACTGGAGCAACGTCGACAAACTGTGCAGGAGAAATTGGCCAAAGTGAAGCGAAACATCGAAGAACAGAAGTTGTTGCGCTCGGAATCGGTGCGGACAATTTTTTTTCACTCGACACTTCTAGGTGGTGTAGCTCCATCTAATCTGTTGTGGGCAGGACGAGCGTTTGCAAAAGTTACGTCGCTTAGAAGAGCAGAAAACCAAGGTGACAGCACTGCGCACCAAAGTGCAGCACCTGGCAGAGAACGACCCCGCGATTCTGCAAGAACTGGAAGGAAAAGTCCGCGTGGCGAAGGAAGGTTCCGACCGATGGACAGGTTCGTCTTTGCCTCCTCGAGTTTGGGGGATTGGTAGAGTGCGTGTTCATTGACGCTGCTTGCTGTACTGGAACAGACAACGTGTACACGCTCAAGTCATGGGTGGTGAAGAAGCGTGGTGTCGAGGGCAAAGAGGTACCGATGCAAGAGCTATTGGCAATGACAAAGGTATCGCGCTAACACTGTCTGCATTGTGGTAGGTGGACAAGTGGTTGGGGATCAAGGACGATTTCGACTACGTTGAGTAAACAAGTGATGGTAACGAAGGAATGAAAAAGAATACCATTATCGCCCTCGACTTACTTAAATCGCTATTGAAACCAAAATGTTATTGTATGATGCATTTACCAGTTGAAAACCTCCTTGTGGAAGTCAAAGTTGCAGTTGCGAGCGAGTGCCTGGGCCTCGACCGTCATGGTCGGGGGTCCGCACGCCACCACCGTCACCTTCCTGCCGTTAAAGCGACTTGAATTGATCAGTTCATCCATAATAGGCTTGCCACCGCGGTACGACAACGTCTCGCCGTTCGTACGGGTAACCACGCCATCCGTGCGAGCGTTCGACACATGGAACATCCAGTTAATGTTAACTGGAGACGGCGCGTTGTTGCCCAGGATGGCCATGTTGGGGTCCTGGATGCTGGCACGGGCAGCGTAGTCGAGCTGAGCGTGGGTGGGCAGGAACTGCTCCATCATCAAGATATCTTCAGGCTCGCGTACGGACCACAAGACGTACCAGTCCGAAGCCTTGGGAGCTTTATCCGAATCGTTCGTCGCAGACGGGAACAAGCGCGACTGGTTGATAAGACTCATCATCGGCGTGATACCAACTCCACCAGCAACCAGCACAACAGCGTCGTAGCGATCCACATTGAGCGACATCTTACCAAACGGGCCACACAGATTAGCGGTGAATTCGTACTGCGTACCAGCCTTCTCCAGTAGTTTACGTGTGAAGGAGCCATTGCCCATAGCCTTGATAGTGAAGCCCAGCGACTTGCCATCGGGAGTCACAACAGACGAGAACGGATGCCACTGAGTGGCCGAAACAGCCGGGAGACGTACGAAGAAGTACGAGCCAGGGTTCACGTTCATGGCCATCTTGCCAGTCTTCGGGGTGGATTCCAGGACGAGTGTAGTGGAGTTCGAGCCGGAGTGTACAGTCGCAGACGCCTTGTAAGAACCAGTGAAGGCACTCGACCAACGGTACAGCAGACCAAGAGCGTACAGTCCAAGAGGAACGCAAAGAGCGAGGCCGATGAACTTGGGGGCGTGGAGAATAGTGAAAACGAAGCCCACAATCGACAGCACGCGGTGCGTGAAGTAGAAAACCTCGAAGAACATGCGACGGATGTACTCGATAGACAGGAACATCATCGCGATGAAGCAAATGAACGCCACGAAGCCAGGCAGAGGCGTCACTTCACCGTATTTCTCGTTCAGAGTGAGGTCCACGACGTCACTGGCCTGCACGACGTGGACGATCACTGCGATGTTCATAATGACGCCCAGCCAGCGGTGAAACTTGACAATGCGCTCAAACGAGCTCCCAAAGAGAATAGACCACACAGGCAGGCGGGCCACAGGGAGGATGAGGAACATGAGAATCAGCAGACTCACTTGGCCAGAGACAACGTATTTCTCCTCGTCGCTTAGTAGAGAGATGAGCACAACCACGGCCGCCACGAAAATGAGCATAACCAGCAGCTCACCGAGGTGCAGGTCGGCCAAAGTCTGCATGAACATAGTGTGGGGCATGGCCACAGGCGAGTTGGTCGTCATCTTGACCGGAGGCGGGGCCACAGTGCGGTGCAGCAGGAGCCTACCAACAGGCGACGACTTGAGCGCCGCAGTGAGCAACAGGCCACACACGGCCATTGAACCGAAGGCGATGCCACCGACAATACCGGGGCAGTTCTTATCGTCGCACCAAGGCGTGGACGCACTGGAGCTGACGATCGTGCTGGCGCCGGCATTGGAGCCTGTGGCCGTAGCTGCGGCCGCGATGTTGAAGGAGGCAGCGCCGTTCGTACCGCGTCTGTGCGTGGAAATAGGCCACGAGGTACCGTAGGCCCAAATAAAGTCGGTGGAGCCTGTGGCAGAGATGGCTACATCCGAACTTGAAGCGGCAGCAAGTGTGCGCTGGAAGCTGAAGCTCATGCTGGTGGTGCTACCCGAGCCCACCACGAAGGAGGACAGATCGGAGTCCTCCGTCACATCACTGTTGACGTAGCCGCCCAGCACGTAGGACGTGGGGGTGCCGCTGTCCTTGAAGAACATCATGACGTTGGAGGCCGGACTGCTCACCATGTTGGAGTCACGCGATGGCCCGACACCAAACCACGTGGCCGTGCTGGCCACGGACGCGTCAAGCTGATATTCGATGCAGACTTCGTCTCCCTGCACCAGGGCGCGCACGAAGATGGGACTGTCACCAAGCTGCGTGCCGGAGAGCGCCTGGAACGCGTCGCTGGAGCAGATGCTGGAGTTGGAGACGGCGGCGCTAACCATGGTGCTCGTGGCCGTTAAAGCGGTAGCCAACAGCGGCAAGAATGAACGGGTCATGACTGAGATGCGAAGGATTCGACCAACTCGATAATTGCTACACCGGGAGATTCCTAGTCGATGGATGGACAAGAAAGACTGAGAACCTCAGTCGGAGATTGAACTGTTGGGGCCGCAGCAAAAGGAAAAGTGAACAGAGTAGAGGAAACGGATTGGAGACCGACCACCTGCTTTTGCTTCCGTCGATTGAGAGTTTCGACCGTAATCCGGTGGTACAGCGATCAGTTCCGTAAAACAAATGTGAGGACTGTAACTGCATTACTATGTCTAGTATATATATTTATACAGGTTTAAGAAACTGTGATCTGCGTTTATAAATAGTAGACTTTGTATCGGCTTAGGAGGGGTATCGGATTGTTTTTCTTTGGTCTTCCAGTCGTCACGACACTTTTGAGGTGTCCGCATTTACATTTCGCCGACAAATCTGGGCAAGCACCTCCATATTTACTTTGGTATTACTCCGTGGGCGAGCCCGTTGGACACGTTAGCATTTGATGTTCGAACACACATACCGGTAGAAGCCAGCACCCTGGCGTTGTCACCAGCTCACTTGCCTCAGTCCATGTCAAACCGCAACGTTTGTGAACTCATGTCATCACGTGGCAGCAAATTGCAGGTGCTGCCAGCAATGCTGCCGCAGCATTTCGCAGCGAACATAGAGTCGTGGTTTGGCTGTATGTTCTCGTCGAGTTGCCGTGGGGTGTTTAGTACAGTTTTGCTGTTAACAGTGATTACAGCAAAATTGTAAAGTTCAGAAGCGGCCGATCGGCGGTACGTACTGGCGGCGTGTTTGACACTGCGCTGGAGTGGACACACCGATCACCGGTGACCAGTGTACTGTACGCCTGTGAACGGTCTTCACGTCTGATCGAATCACCACCATAACGACTGGTGATCCGAGTTGGCGCTAAAAGTTAGTAACTCCTTCGCCCCTTTGCTGCTTCTTGCTGTTCGAACACTTCGAAGCAAACACTTGGTGCAGACAACTTTCTCGGACGGAAAGGGTCATTGGTTATTTTTTATAATGACGTTAAAACATGTATGTACCTGTATGTCACATACTTTGTGTCCGCTCGGCAGCGTTGGACACTCATGGACTCGGTACTTTTGGTGGTACACCCAGTTAAGCGCTATACAGGCATTACTGGACCTACCGGTAAAGTACATGTATTGCCGGTATTAAAAATCTTGAATTCCCGCTCTCGTTGTGTCGAAAGGTGAACATTGCTGCCGCGGCGCGCCACACGATCTCAAATCTCTCGGACATGTGTCGCCTGTCGGCGCTGTCGCAGTTCGCCTGGATTCGTAAGCCAAATTGTTCGTTTACGAAAACAAAAAGAAAATGCCAAACTCTCTTGCTCAGTTCTCATCAGGAGGTCATTTTTTAGTCGACGTCGTGAGACCAGTCGCTCGCATCACTACTGTCGTTCCAGCTTGGTTGTTTTTGTATTGGAGTACTTCATCATATTTTCCAGCAAGCATTATCCATTCTGATTCTTGTTCATTACCGGTATGACTGTATCTCGACTGGAAAATGAGCTTCTCTTGATGCAGGTGCCTTGTCCGCTGTTGACGTGGCAGTGCCACTTGACCACGTCGTATCAGTTTTCATCGACTTGCAACGCTTAGTTGAATACATACATGTTTTAGTTTTAATACATGTTGTAAATAATTATACAAGCAAGACTGTACCCTGCGTTGTGTTCGAAATATAAGCTTAGTTGACATCACGGTTTCAGTTCACTTTTTCCGAGTTGGTTTTAATAAAGCCAATGCATTACAGTACCAGTATGCACAACGCACCTACTGTGGCAACATGAACAAATATTAATACTTGTACCGTACCTGTACCTCTGAGTCCAGGAAGCCAAAACCACGGTTGTTGACGGCACCAATTGAGATTTCACGGTATCTCATACAAGGTACAGTACATGTACATGCATTGAACCGTATGTCAACTGAGAATCCACTCGACTTTTACATACGAGCCGATGGCAGCGTGACTCATCAGTTGCGTGGAGCTCTGCGCATCTCGTAGATTGCCAAGGTGGCCATGGTTGCGAGAACACACAAGGTTGCAGCAGCTACAGGGATGGCTAGACTTGAAGCCGCAGTCGACAGGAAGCTGGGTTTCACTTTTTCTTTATCCTGCAAAAGCTCATGGGCGTGTTCTTGCTTCGTTTTATCAGCAGACGCTTGACGACGGCGAGTCGATGCAGTCTTTATGCCTCTGAACCGCTTGCTGCCACCTCGGCGCACGGTGGAGCGAGAAGACGGTGGAGGAGACCGCGATTCGTTGCTGGTCGTGTCTTGCCAGTGACTTTCGTGCTGCTGGCGCTTGCTCCTAAAGCTACCGTTTGTAGACGATGAACTGCGCTGCTTAGTCCGCAGCTTCGACTTCCGCGACGCGGATCTGGTACTGGAGCTTGCTTGGCTTATTGCGCTGTGTGTTGGAGAGGTTGGACCCGAAAGAAGAGACCGCTGCGAGTGCCGGTGGCCACTTGGGACCCGCTCGATTGACCTGGTCGCGTGTTCCGCTTTGCTTGGCGGTGGAATGCCTTCACTACTAGAAGGAATCATTGGAACCGGTATCAATGGACCCGCGCCTCCCGACACTGGAGGAGATGCCATGCTTCGAGCTCGCTGGGTCTTCCGGTGCTCTTGGTGACAGGGGTATCGAGGAGGCGATGGGATAGACCAGTCACCTCCTTCAGCCTCAACATAATCACCGACCTGATCTTCCTCTTCAAGCACGCTTGGTACGGACGATGAAGTCCGGGATCGAAGGGCAAACGAATCCAAGTTTGGATCCTGTTCCCATGGTATCCCAGCAGCATCGTCGTGTAGCATCTGGTTCTCATCACTGAAACTGCTTACATCGCCATCGCTCGAGAACCTTTCGTCTTCTTCCTCAGCCTCCTCCGACTCGGGTGGCCAGGTCTTCGCTCGAATATCTTCACCCAGTCTCGCGTCAATTTGAAGTTCCTGCTTTGTCAAGATAAACTGCAAACACACACACCAGAAGACAGCACAATTCAGTCAGCATCGCTATCTTATCATGGAGAGGAGGGTCGATACCTCAATGTCGCTGAAGAGGATTTCGCGGTAGAGTACCATAACCTGCAAAAGGTTAATCGCTACAGTGTCTTGTCTTTCGCTTTTTCGGGCAGTCTTAGCGACGTCATACAGTAATGTGGTTAATACATACAATTGTCGAATATCCTATCTGATACTCACCATGCTTTCGAACTCGGACGACTCACTGAAGACGTGGTGGTGTTTATCCGCGATCGTTTTGAGGAGTGGCTGTGCCTCGCCACTGACTAGAGCAACGAGGTCCCACAACGCGAACAAGCGCAGCAGACAGTGCCGCACCTCACGCTCAAGGAGATCCAAGATCTCACGAATTGCCACCAACGTCGTGAGTGCCGGCGGAACAGCCAGACTCTGACGTAGCAACATCTTTCTCTGTCGCGTGTAGAGCGCTAGAGGCACCAACGGACCCATGAGATTGCGAAAGCTTACTTCAAGTAGCTCGTTGAGAATGCCTAGTTGATCAGCAGTGGAATTCGAATCGATACTCGACGTAAGGAGGGCTTGCGGACTCAAGACTTCGATATCTTCAGGTACATTGTTGTCATTGGAGGCTGAAGAAAAGCCCTGCCACTCCCCACGCTCCTTTTGCACACTTTCAAGCAGCGAGACGTACAGAATCTTGGCTTGGCGAGTTACTGAGCTGTTTCGAGCCGTCTCGTCGTAGTGACCACAGCGGTTGATCAATGCGAAGAGTACTGAAGCCACAGTGCCCACCGCTTGTGCACAGGACCCGAGCACGGCGCTGCGCTGCATCTGTTGCATCTGCTGCTTCTGTCTCTCACTCGGCCGTAACTGCGGGTCCAGTTCTGGTGACTTCTCCTTAAGGTCAGCTTGAAGCTCGACTGAACCGGAGGAAGGCGGTGACTGCGACGGCCGCCGGAAATAATTGCGGATCCCATAGCCCGCTGATGTCGAAGACGCAGCCATTAAAGAGCGGAGGGCGTGTGGGGGAACCAACTCAGCAACACCCCTGGCTAGCTCACACTGGTCTTCTTTCAACTAAGATTGCAGGAGCCGCGATCTTCCTCTCGAAGAAAAATAGAAAAGAGCGTTGCATGATCCCAATAATGGGCTTAATTGTTCGAAATACTGGTGCTGGCACGCTACGGTCTTTGGCAGACGTGATTGATAATCACCGGATTTGCACGGCAACAATGCCACAAAAAGTTTGCCTTGAATTAATAACCCAAGGTTGTACTGTACGATAAGTTAGCGCAAAAAAAGCTTTTGTCTACCCCGAAGGTATCCATCCATTCAGCCTCAAAGGAAGCAATGTTTCGTGCGAGGTTCTTTGCTTGCAAGCTCATCATAATGGTCGACATTAAATGCCAGCTGCAATAGTCGCGGCAATTTTTGCAAACGAACTCAAAGCAAGAAATCGATTTGTAAGAATGAAGCTTTTTACATATCTTGACGTTATCCCGAACACACATCGCCTAGTGTTAATATTAATAACGGCAACGTGGTCGACAACTCCGTCTGCTAGTAAAACAAAACAGTAGTGTTTCACACTTAGCCCGTGAGGAGCGTCACGAGGTCGCACGACGAATTGAGGTCGATGCGTCTTGTGCTGTCCGTGTGGATGATGCTCATATTCATAATAGCCAGAGCGTCCTTGAACAGCGTCTGGTCCGTAGCATACGAGCTCTCACCGGTGATGAAGTACTGCACATAATTATCGATCAGCGCCGTGACCATCTTGACCATATTCGAGTGATTGTCAATATCCACGAAGAGTCTAAAGGTCTGTTGACTCGTGCCACGAGGGACACCAACCTCCGGAGTCATGCCAGACAAGTAGCCCAGATAGTTCTGCTCTACATATAGCGTCAGATTGAGGTAGCCGATGCCATTGAGCCCCATCTGAGAGACGTTGGTCACATTGACGTCAATATCCATGGTCCAGCCATCGTCCGTGCAGCCCCAGAAGTCAATGTGGTCAATAACGGTCAAAGGATCGCGGAACCCTCGATCGAGAGCTCGCGCTTGAAGTCCAGTCCGCCGTAGCTGAAGCCCAGTGCATGAGCCTTGACCTTTGCAGTCGTATCGAAGACAACGGAGACGTCGTCCATGACTGCGGTGGACATAGAGGAGAACACGTCGGCGTCTGTGACGATCAAGTCGCTGGTGATGTTGAGATCGTACGATTGCTCGCCTTTGTCGATTTTCAGAGCGGGGAACTCAAACGTGGCGAACGTCGATCCCTCGTAAAGCAGCTTGGCCGTAGTGGCATCCGACCGAGCGTTCATGCTCAGATCGTGTGTTAGGTGTAGACTAAGCTCGCTAGAGAGCGTAGTTTGGTCCGAGATTTGGTTGATGTCGAGGTAGTTGACACTCATCTTGATCTTGTTGACATTGTGCTGGAAAACAGCCTTGACGATCACAAACCACGCGATGATGATCAGCACGGCCAGTAGTACGAGCACAATGCCCACGATGGCAAATATCCGCTGCTTCTTGGTGATACGCCACCACAAGAACTTCTTAAGAGGCTTGCCCTTCTCGTTCCCCTCCTTGAAAACGTCCTGGCTGTTGGCCGATACGTCCACTTTGAAGGTCGAATCGGGTGTCTGGTACTGGTAGTGGTCATAGTCCACAGCGTTATTGTGTGCCGGGCTCTGCAGAGTGTCGACCACGGGCGTCTTGACCTCCTGTTGGTAAGTTGCCATTACTGGAGGGTTGATAGACTGGAGTACTTGAGACCAAGGTGGCAGGTTTGCAAATGAACTTTTGCTGAAGGCCACGCAGGGGCCCACTGACCTGGTTGCCAGCCAGAATTCCGATGCGGGAAACAAAGGACGAACCTTCACCTTGGCGCTGATACGTGGTGCGCTTCTTCCTCACGGCGGGTTTTCCGTGGCTGGTTTGATTTGAGATGAGTATGGGCTCCTTTCATACTTCACGTATGGAGCACCTGCCATCAACATCGTGTCACTCTGGGCCGAAAAACTTCAACTAGAAAAATACCTAAGGTACATGAACGGCAACATTCGCGTTACTTATACATGTACTGTAAATAGTACATGTACATGCACCAGCTCGGTTCTCTGTCGAATAGGAGGAATTCCATCTATTTTGCTTTCGCGCCGGCGAAGGCACAGTCTGGCAAACGTACTCCGAGGACATGAGACATAAAAGCAGGTGTGTGCATTGCTACAGCCTGAAGATCGCTGCCATTTTTGGAAGCATGTCAAACAGTTCTAGAGCATTTGTGACAGTGACGAGCCAACCAATCAAACAATTGGGGAGAGGTCTCCGTTGCACCAGGCATCTCATCTCAGAGAGTTTTGTGCGTACATGTACTGTACTGTACTGTATGCACAGTGTGCATTGCACACTACTGCAGTGACTTCACTTGTCGTGAATCACGACACAAACATTCGGTGCCAAATCTGGGTCGAATGCTCGGCGGTTGGTCCCAACATATTTTGTCCTTGGAGAAAGGACCAAAATTTGGTCAGTGTTTGCCGCCTTCTAGGGAATTTTGTCCTTTTGAAGGACAAAAATAATCGTACTTAAGACGTTTTTGACACTTGCTGAAGGGAAACTTCAACCGCACTCTTGGCGCGCGCTAGTGCAGCTACAGGGCCAAGAAGATGCTTGAGAGCGACTCATCTAGCAGTTCTTCGTCTGATAGCGACGAGAACATCGCTACTGAGGCAACGACATGGCGAGACGTGGAGAGCTGCGAAGTGCAGCTGCAAGTGAGCGATGTTGAGCGCACGCTGCTGATCAAGTCTCGTACTGAAGCGGGCGCGGTTTTGGCGCGTCTTCGACGACGCATGTTTGGATCGTCGTCGTCTGGGCGAGCTAGTGTCGGTGATCTAGTAAGTGCGTGGATGGATGAATCCATACTATCTGCAATTAAGAACGTCGTGAATACAAGCATGGAGCCGGAGTGGCATGTGTGCGTGAAAGAGTTGCTGCTGTTTGTGGAGGTGGAGCTTTGGCTGAGTTACTATGCCGTCACGCCGACATTCTTCTACCACCGAGACAATCGTAATTACTTTTCCCCGGCACAAAGCGCGATGCCGCAAACGCGATACATGGCAATATTAAATGCGTTGGGAGCGCAAAGAACTCGTAGTGATGGTATGACAGAGCAATGGACCGCTCCGATGATTCCTGATAGAGATATTTCTCATGTGGCTGGACTCATTAGACAGTTGTGTGAAGAAATCGGATTCGTAGAAGGCACATCTATTGCCTCGCTTGATGATGATATGATTCGCCTTCGGTCTCATTTGGTTGATGACGTGGGGCTGACACATGTTCGAAACCCAAAAAAGGGGTAAGTACATTGTGCCGTGGATATATTGCGTCTTCATCAATGCTTATATCGGTGGTGTATACAGGTATGGACCCGTTCAACATGGGATTGTTTCTCTTACAAAGGGACTGTTTCTCGGAGGGCATGTTGCCACTCGTGGGGGGCAGACTGTAGACATTGTGAAGCTTTTACAACGGTCTTTATGCGGTGCCGCTACTGAAAGCCGGATTAAACGCCCTTGTATAGTTCATGCATTGGACCGGGGTTATCAATCCATTGCAGTAAACCAGCACATCGATAACGTTGGTGGTAAAATAGTTGGCACACACAAGCGAACTGGTAGCTTTCCGTTTACCTACGGGAAGAAAGCTGGTAAAGACCAACGAGAGATTCCAGAGAAGGGCGCAAAAACAGCGTATTGGGCGTCAAAAACACTTCCTGCTGTAAAAGTAACAGATACTGCGGCGGGAACTGTGTATGCTCTGGCGTATCGATCCGGTCTCGGTAAAGTGGCCACATGCTATACTACAGATCGAGCTTTTGGACCGGGGCGCTGGTCATATATTTGCACCCCAACCAAAACGCAAAGTGTGTCAAATATTGACAACTTGTTTGAAGCTTTCGAATGTGGCATTCAGAAGCTAACGGAGACACAACGTACCCCGATCTGGTTTCTTATGCGAAAGTTTTGGATTACAGGCTCGACAGCTAGTCGAATTTTTCACCATGTTACTCGTTCTTCACCGGATCCACAACTAGTGCAAGACCCCGTAACTGATCCCCACGTGAAATGGTGTTATTGTTGTTGTCAATTCAATTCTCTTATGGCGTGTCTAATGGGGAAGTAGTTGCCCCTGTTCTCCTCCCTAGACAAGAGCTAGAAGTCAAAACATGTGAAGAACTGAAGTCGCTTTGTCGTGATGGTGGCCTCCCAATTACCGGCAGAAAAAAAGAGCTTGTTGAGAGGCTTTGTAATGGGAATTTGACCGACACTACGGATCAAAACTCCTCTGGTGGGGAACTTTTGTCGTCTTGGTTCATGTCACCAACGTCGTCAGCTGCGATGAAAATTGGTTCACACAATGAAGCAAGTATTTCAGATCACATTCAACAGTTTTTCGACAAACATTCTCGTTACCATGTCGAGCGACTGAAAGATTACGGTCTACTGTGCGGGTAAGTGGGTTGTCCCTGCTAACAATTGAATTTATTACTGGATAAAGCTTTTGTTATTCTTCTAGACGTGAAGCTCCGCACGTTGCCTTTTCACCAGATGACATAGGGTCGATTCTGTGCACTAATCGAGGCAGATTTTTTGCTGTGATGGAATATAAGACACGGGTGGTAGAGCGAACAAATGAGAAAGAAAACGAGCTGGCGGAAAAGTTTGGAGTGTTTACCTCTGTAGAGGTGGCTGCAAGCTGGTACGGTACTACGACGTTCAAAGAATTGATACCAGATACAAGTCACAGATGTCCAATTCTCCATGGGATCGTTTGCAGTGGACTTTGCGATGGCTTTATTGTTTATGCCTCGCCGACAAAGATCATTCGTGTGGTTCATATTTCAGCTGGAGACGATATGTATGGGACATACCACGAGGCGATGCTGGTAATTCGTGAAGCATACATGAGGTGGATCTACGATCAATCTGTGCCAATTCCATCGTTTTCCTCGCGCGACTTAGATCACTGTATCGATTTCGATACCTTGGCACAGAATTTGGACTTGTGGAGAGCTCTCGTACGGATGGAAGATGAAAAAGGGTGTACTTTGCCACCTTCAAAACATATCCTACCATCGTTGGTTGCATACTGGAATCGGATTAAGGGAGGCATCGACGTTTATTCTCGATATCTTAAAAACGCCAAGGCTTGCCATTCATCACTGCCGCCGACGGCGGCAATTTGGTTATGAATGCTCATGACACTCGTATATAATGCGTACCAGTCACACCAACGCTTCTAGGTAATGTGATCTTTACCTTGATTCCTTTTCATCATAGTGTATACACGACTTGGCGGAAGACTACCTGCACGATAACACGCGGTGTTTGTCGTAGACTTTGTACCAAAGCTACAAACATAATCTCTCCAGTTTTAAAGGTTTTTGCCGTGATGCAGCTCTCTCCCTCGGATCCCCTGCCACCTCCGACACAACGCGCGTTCTGCGATCACTGGAAAATCTTCTGGGAGATGATGAAAATGACACACATGAGCTGTGGTCGGGGCGAGGTTTTTGCTTACAAAAAGAGAGATCACTACGACAGGGATCCGGAGTGGATAAATCGACGGCTATCAGGGCGATTGAAACACGACCACGTAAGGCTATTTGATCTGGAAACATTTTGATATATGTACGCTCTAACCCGTGGACTTCGTACCAGATATTAATTGAAGGTGAATCTACACAATTATGCTGTGTTCTATGCTGCCAGCTGAAGCACGACCAAGAAAATGCCGGACATACTCGGAAAGGTTTTAAAACGCGGTATCAGTGCAGTGACTGTGGGGTTGCTCTGTGTCGTACCGAGCGCTGGGTCGGTCAACTGTCGTGCTACACCAGATTTCACACTGATCAAGAGCTATCAAAGCCGTGTGAAGCACCCGAGCAGCTTCTCCCGAGTACAAGACAAAATTCGCGGGTTAGAACCGCACCAAACCGTCAACGGAACTCGCTGAATACCTCAAAGCAGCGTGCTCCGAGTGGGCGCTTACAAAGCAAGAAGCGTAGGCGATCACTGCGCTTACAGGAGCAGGAATAAGTGCTCCTTAAACTTTGTCCTATGGAAGAGGACAAATTTTTGGCCTGGTATGTAGGACAAATCGTCGTCACGTAGCTCTTCACGACGCCAAGTTTCAGTCGTTATGCACGAAGCAAGAATTCAGTTGCTTTCATGACAAACGGGTTAATATTGCTGCTTAACGTGTTGGGTGGCCATGCCTAACATCTAATTGCTGTTTTTTTTATTTGGTTGTGGCAAGCAACAGAAGTGAGAATTGGTCCTATTTTTGTCCTACCAAAAGGGGCTGTTGGGGTTAAGAAGTGCGAGTCGAAAGGCCAGTTGCCTCTCTTTCAGACGACTCACTCGATTGCCGAGCGCTGCTTAGCATCCACGGTAGCAGTTGTTCAGCAATTTGCTTGGTGCACCATTATTAGTCGGAGAACTCTCGTGACGCACCCGAATCATCGTGGTGTTTAGCACTGAGTGGCATCCGATAGTACCGCTGATTCCAGTGGAGACTCCACTGGAGTATAGTACATCTCGTCGTGAGGTTTTGTTCGTTTGTGGATACAGTACAGAGCTGCCTACGTCGTCCACGCTCTCCAACTGTACAAGCCGTGACACGCTGGCGTCAGTGTGTGTAGCACACTTGGCGGGCCTTGTGGCTTGCTCACTGCGGCGGCTGCGGAGACAGCTGAAACTTTCCAGCGGACCCACAATGCCACAGGACTCGATAAGTTGTCGGACAACCGCTCCAGCGCATCCCACGTGGCTGCTAACGATCGCTTGCCGGTAACACCGAAATGCGGTTGCAGACAAATCTACTGGCCTCCGACGTGAAGCTCAGTGAGTTTAGCTCACGTTAATAAGGGGGTAGACAGCCAAGCAGCTCGAGCAAAATAACCCTTTTATTGCCTGCTTCACTGACGTATACCTGTCAAATGGATGCCGGTAAGGGAAAACTTGGCTGGAGCCCGAAAGCTACTCGCAACAATCAAGTTGGTGTGATCTGAACGCAACGCCAGCATTTGATTAAAAGAGAATTTTAGTTTCTGAAGTGCACGTAGACAATTTGCAGAGCAATAATGCTGAACGATCCGTTACCTGAACCGGTATGCAAGTTTGGCACCTTGACATGGTGACCATGTCAGTCAGTCCATCGCAACTTCAACTTTTTGGATAAGTGGCCTCTCGCCCTTCCTTTGTGCTCGCTAAATGTAGGATCGCTCTTATACAATAAGAGCAAATTAAGATTTGTCGGAAATCTGCGTTGCAAGAGCATCATTATCATCACGCAGGGCGGACCGCAAGGCTTCTGCTTCGTCAGTCGTGGTGGCTCTTAATTCAGCCCTGCTGTCTTCATTTAAGAATCTGTATTGATATCACTTGACGCACTCAACACCCATTTTTCTCGCTTTCTGCAAGTCATTAAGGCATGGGGATCGGTTGAGCTGTTACAGTTGTGTGCGTAGCAGCTAATTTATCGGCCTGCTTTTTCTTCTTGGTGTGCTCTGCGATGCGTTCCTTAAGCTCCTTGATCTCCACATCGGCGCTCAATAGCAAATTTTTAGTGTCCTGCACCTCCTTCTGCACAAAGTTCTCGGCGCGCGCCAGCGTCTTGAGCACCTCCACATCTGAATAGGTCGGAAGATGGTCCTGCATCGTCAGCGGTGGCGACTGTCGGTCTGGCCCAGCCATCAGCTTCTTGTAGAAAAACTCGGTCGGCTCATTGAACACGAGTTCGTCGTAGAATTCGCTTACAACGGGCTGTCAACATCACAGCGGCAGCGATGGTTAGTGCTAGTAATGGACACGATAATTTGAAGTTCTCAACAAACCTTCTTGGTGCTGGCAGGCTGGCTGTTGGGCGGATACAACACCAGCAAATGAATGATACTGATCGGCCGCTCGTTTGGATCGTGGAAGTAGATCTGGATGCGCGTCTCGAACTCGCCCCAGCCCAGCTCCGTCACCTCGTACGGTGGCTCTGTTAGCACTGCGATTGCATGATTACCGTTAGATTTCACAAGTAAGTAGATGGGTTAGATTCTGGCTTACCTCTAACGGGATTGGCGAAGCTCACGTGCAAGCTTATTACGACCTTGCTGATCATGTAAGACAAGTCCTCGTTGTCCACGCCACGCAGATAGATGGACCAGCGGTGCGTCTTGGTCTCCTCAGCCTTACGCCCAAGGTACGTGGCCACCGACCCATATAGAATGGGCTTGCTAACCACAACGTTCTTCTGCCGCGCATCGGACATGTTGCAGGGTCTAATTTTTTTTAAACAAGCCGAAAAAGTCGACGATTGGCCAATTTAGTAAATTCAAATGGGTAAAAATGAATTTGTATGCTACCCAGTTTGCCGCACTTTTTTAAACTAGCGACGACGCGTTGATGATGAAGCGGAAGCAATCGACCGACGCAGCGGCAACCAGCAGCGAGGACGAACGCTGGCCTGCGAAGAAGAAAGGTGCGCGGCCATTGTGCATATAGAAAATCACTTATTTAATTTAGTAACAACCGTCGGGGGTCTGTAAGTTTGATGCATTTTGGCTTAAATTCCGAATTTGACCCTTGTTGATATCGTAGTAAGAGCGTCGGACGCAAATGTCCATGGAGAAGAGGAACTTGTGGACGAGATGATCGACGTCCAGGATTTTTTGTTGCGTGACTGTAAGGCATCATCTAAAGTGCGTCCGAAGTCCGTTGCCGGGGGTCTTTAGGATGTAACACACCGACTGCATGTTCTTGCAGAAATTGGTGGAGCAAGCCAAAATGCGTGCGGCAGAGCTCCGGCAAGAAATGGAGGAAGGAAAGAAAGCGCTATTGGATGCACTCGAGGCAGAGAAAGAAAACCTTGACGAAGGTGGGAGCACCTTGTTTAATTAGTGGCAATGGATTGGTGAACTGACATGCTGATGTGCCCTGCAATAGATGGAAATGCCATTCCGCGTGCTTTTACGATATCTGTGCGTAGCATCACTGGTCCGTACAAAGGACGAAAGTTCTCTATGGAAGTCGACGTGGTAAGCTGCTTGCATACTGCAATGTCCAAGCCGCCACGTTAACAATCTTTGCTTCTATTTGCTCGCAGAAACGACATTCATCCTGTTTTGTTGGTCGTTCTACTGGTCGGAAATACCGCTCTCCTAGAGGCCTGAGCATGCCCAAGGACTCAGAGCTTTCGACGACACATGCAGAGGTAGTGATACTTTGGTTGCTTATGCATGGCACACTAAATGATGCATCGTCTTTACGTGCAGATCAAAATGGAGACTTCAGGTAAAGTTTTCTTTATCGATTCGGAGAGTACCAACGGCAGCCGTATCGACGATGTGGGATTGGAGCCGAAGGTGCCGTACGAGCTCACGACTAGCAAACCCATCAAAGTGGAGGTCGGCGCAGGCGAATACGAATTCACTTTCGAGCAGATTGCGTAGTTTGAGAAGCAGAGGATCCGTTTTTGCGGCCATCTCGCTGATGCTAACTGTAAGTTTTGGCACATCTCATCGAGTCATACGAATTGGGGAAGTGCAGAAAGCAACAGCAAGTTGCCAGCCACCACACTATAGTATTATATTCCGAGTTCTTTTCTCAAGATTTTCTCCCTGTCTCGTGCAGAACGCAATCCATATCTTCAGATGTACAAGGCGTTCAAAGCTTCAGTTCCGACCGCCAAGTGATCGATTGGTGACCCTAGAGGACTGCGGCAGCTGTGTGTGTCTTTTTTAACTCTCAACTGCAAAACAACAGAGTGCTGGTCTCGACTCTGTTAAGCGATAAACATCTAGTTGGAGCCCGAGATCTTCTCCTTGAAGTCGCCCACGGCCTTGTCCGTCTTGTCCAGTGCTGCCTTTGCGTTGGCGTTGCCCGCGAACGCCAGCTGGCAAGTCGTCCAGCTCGACCCAGCACCTGCACCAGCGCCAATACCCGTGACTAGTCCGCGGCCAGCACCAGAGCCTGCAGTATCAAGCATACCGGTATCAATGTCAGTTGCGAGAGCTCCTTCAGGAGCTACTGTAGAGGATCCACAGCAACGTACGAGCCAGCACGAGGGATGTGAGGCCGCCAGCCACGAGGCCAGCGCCAAAGTAGAGCGTGAAGTTCTCCAGACACTTGTCCCACTTCTCGGAGATGCGGTACTCGGACGGGATTTCCTTGTTGTCGCTCATGGTGCTCGTCGTCTGCTGCGTGCTTTGATCCTGCTTTCTGTGAGGACGGCGAGATACCCGATTTTCAGCCACTCAACGATCTGGATTGCGATTATTAATAATTCCGAATAAGTTCGATAATCAATTGGTGAAACATCGAAACGTTGTCAATGGCCGAGGAGCGTGTCGTGCTGCTGGGCACGATCCAGGAGCGCCAAAGTGTAGACAACAACTCGCCCTACGTATGCAAAGCTGGTGGGACGCCGGTATGCACTGCACCCAATAAATCACGTGAATTTCGCTACTAGAAGTGCATTGACATTTACAATTCTGTTACTGTTTAGGCTTGGTATTCGGAGCCACCGTCGGAAGCTAGCAACTTGACGTGCACTAAATGCGGCAAAGGACTGTTCCTGGTTGCACAAGTATATGCTCCTGTGGAGACCGACAGGACGCTGTACGTCTTCGGGTGCAACTCGATGGCGTGCACCGAGAATGCTGGTAGTTGGAGAGTGCTGCGTGACCAGGTAAAACCAGTAAGAGAAACTCCTGTCGAAGTAGACGTCGCGGAGGTAACAAAACAGGTTGACCAGGTGAAACTTGCGTGGGGATCGGATAGCGATGACAGTGATTGGAGTGACGATGAGAAGGCACCAGCTCCAGCAAATGATCTTGTGGACCTGGAGGCGCTTTTACAGCAACGAGATAATGCAATGAAAACCAGTGTGAAGACAGTGAAGGCTGCTGCTATTCAGAAGGTGCAAGCTGTGAACAATCCTGCTTTGACTGACAAACGGAACGCCTTTCCAGCTCTGTCTATTGAGGTGATTGATGAGCCGTTCGAAGATTACACGGCTGAACACGATTTTGGCCACGAGAACCACCTCCTTGAGGAGTACATGAAAAAAGAGGAAGAAGATAAATCCACGGATATTGGAGATTTGCGCACGGTCATCACAAATTCAAAAAAGACGGGAGGCACTGCGCAGTCAGGGGGAGGCTTGTCGTCTGGAGAATCATACGAGAAGACTCCAGCAGCACAGCGACATCTGCTGCGTTTTCAGAAGCGCATCAATCGCTGTCCTCTCCAATGTCTTCGGTACGATTACGGCGGTGAACCGTTGTGGCCGGTTGTGATCCCGCAAAATCTAAAGGTCCCTCCTTGCGCTGGCTGTGGAAAAGAACGGGCGTTCGAGATGCAGTTGACCCCGACCATTAACTACTTCCTCAAAGTGGATGAGTATGCCGTAGCTGACACTGCATCGCTACAGAAACCTGAATCCAGTGCTGGCAATGACATTCCCAAAGCAGTGGTGCCTCCTGGAGGCATGGACTGGCTCAGTCTCATAGTGTACTGCTGCTCCGCTAGCTGCGCTCAGAGTCACGAGGAGTTCGTCTACGTCGTACCGTCATCGAACTCTTAAGAGCAAAATAGACAACATTTTAGAAATGGGTGAATCAACCATCATTCCTTTCGTACAACATTTGTCTTGGTGCGACATACATTTACAAGCCGTCCCTCAACCGCTCGCACTATCGACCGCAATAATGCGAGCGATACACGGTCGGCTCCTGCAGCGTGCCGGCGTGTCCAGCCGGCGCAGCAGCTTAAAACGATTGCATTCGCTCTTCCTCGTACCCGACAATGTGCTGCCATCTCGACGCAATTTCTCGTTCAGCGCTACGTACCCTACGTCCAGCGAGTCCGCCGCCATGGATGACACGGATGACAAATCCACACCTCGACTGGTCTGTGGCAAGTGCAACACGACGCTAAGTGCCACAAAAGACTTGGTGTTCTTCAAATGGTAAACTTTTACCCGAATACTAACGTTCAAAGCAGGTTTTCCTCTACTAACATCGTTCTCTCTGCAGGAGGAATGGGATTCACGTATCTAGCGCAACAGATGAACCATTGAAGAATTTGTTTCCAGAGGATTCGGTGGGGGAAGAGGATGCGAGTTGGAAGAAGCACAAGATGCTCTGTATCAAATGCAACTTCCAAGTTGGCACTTTGGCGCGGATTTTTTCGTCGGACAAAGTTTTATTCAGTGCTTCCTGCGTGGCGGTGCAGATGCCAGACGACCAATCACCTTTGCTGTCATTGTCGGGTTATCCTTCGTCGTTGCTGAGCTTTACGATGTGGTCGGAGCTGATCTTGATGGCGGAAACACAACCAAAACTCAAGGACTTGCTGCAGATCCGCCGAGTGGATAATATCCAGGAGAACACATCAAAGAGCGCCAAGCTGAACCGGAAATTGCTCATGGCGAAAGACTTACAGGAACTGTTGCGCATAGTGGATGAAAATGTAGGTGGGGTCTGTATAATTGGAGCTTGGAGAGGAAACTTATCGCCTGTGATTGCGTTGTGCACATAGGCCTTCAACTTGAATCACTACAACATTCGAACGGCGATCGATCGTGCAGGTCGCTTTGTCTCGACTAGAACAACCCGAGCGAATTTACTGGTGAGACCTATGCTTGTGCATCCACGGTTTGGCTTACTTATGTACTCACATGCACTTTGGCTTTCGTTTCGCGAAAAGGCCGTCAATAACATCGACAATATCAACAAATCTGAAGCTCCTGAGGATGACCTGCTAGCCGTCCCGTCGCCAGCCTTGTTTCCAAAGTGGACTACCAAGCCTAATGCCTTGGATACAAAGCGGTAAGCTGGTGTTGCTAGCACCTGGAATGTATCTGTTCCGTGCTAACGATATACCTTATCTATGCTTCCTTTTACGTTGTGCTTTTCAGATTTTGGAAGCTGATTGATGAGACAGAAAAGCTGGTGAACTTTGGCATTGCCGCCTTCAAAACGGGCAGTGCGTTGACCCACTTAACGACTGCTCTGATGCGTCTTGGCGTGGGCCGGACGTCAATTCTACAGTACGGGGATTTCACGTTTCAAAAAGAAGCTCTCTAACGTACTTCGCTTGTTGTGTCCTGGTTTAGACCTATAGCAGCGCAGACAGCTTTCATGTTGCAGTCTGAGAAAGGAAAAATCAACTCTCATCAAGCCTGTATGGTAGTGTCGGCGATAACCCACTTGCTCCCGAGAGAAAGTCGTCGTCAAGAGTGGGTTCTGGACTCTTTACAAACCGCCAGCAAGGCGGTGATGGCCGAGCTGGATGATGAAAACACCAGTGCTGAGGACAAACAACGGGCAGCTGAAGTGCTGGTCCCGCTCGCACGGTCGTTCCTCTTCGTCGAGAGCTTCGACGAAGATCTGTTCCGTCGGACGCTCAAAGAGGTTAACTCTGGAGGTCTGGACAAGCTGAACATGCCGCTCTTTAAGCTGAGAGTGCTCAAGTCCAAACTGTACCAGATTCATCTGGACTGTGAGCTCAGCGACCGACCTACTGAGTTCAGAATAACCCCAGCTGTCGAGGAAAAGTGCAAGCGAGTGTTTGACGCTCACCAGGCGAAGGGTAAGAGCTCGTCGTTCCGACTGCACCATCTCGTTTGCACTGCTCTGGACGAGATCGGAATCCAGAACGAAACGCTACACGCCACGGAGACTGGTTACCATCTTGACGTGGTGGCGCCAAGGCAGAAAATTGCTATCGAGATCAACCCGCCGGACTGCTATCAGGCGCTGGAGCCCAGTGACGAGGATAAGGAGCCCAAAACCTTCGGCTTCGTTGACCTCAAGGCGCGGCACTTGAAACTGATGGGCTGGACTGTCATCCAACTGCATGCCGACAGCTTCCAGCAGCTTGTAACTCTGGAAGACCGCGTCATGCACCTTAGCATGCTCTTAGAAATCGCCACCTGCCGCAACTTTGGGCGCTTGTGAGGCAAAGTAGGACCTGAACCAGAGCTTTTTGGATAGAAAACCCATTCAATGCAAACAATCAATTTTGAATATTGGGGGCCAGTCTATTCTCCTCTATGTGAACGTCCGCTCTACTCAGACTGCTTAGCTTTCTTCTTCTTGTGCTTCTTGTCCATCTTATCTTTCTTCGAAGACTTTTGTTCGATAACTGGTTCCTCCACAGTGGCCTCTTCTGTAGATTTTTTGTGCTTCTTACTCTTCTTCTTGTCTTTCTTGGACTTTAGCTTGGGTTCTTCCTCAGCACTGACGACGGCTGCCTCCTCCTTGTCGGCCTCGACTGCGTCGGTCTCGACCTGGTCAAGTTTTCGCTTCTTGCTCTTCTTTTTAGTTTTTTTCTCCGCTTCAGCTTCCGCCTTAGCAGCAGCGGCCTCCTTCGCAGTGCGTTTGGCTTTCTTCTTCTCTCTCTTAAGACGTTTCTGCTCCTTTTTAGAAAGCTCCTCGTCGTCGCTATCAGTGATGTCAGTTTTCTTGGCTTTCTTCTTGCTTTTCTTATCCTTCTTGGACTTCTTCTGGCTCACTTTGCTCTCCTCCGACTCACCCTCCTTGTCCTCCTCCCAGTGCTTGTGCTGGTAGGTGCCCTCGCCTTGACGCACGAACATGGAGTACAGTCCGTTGTTGGGGAGTCCATCCGAGCGCTTGGCGCCTTTCCTGCCGCCAATTGACGCGAAACCCAAGCCACCCTGCACAATCACACATAACATTTATTAAGCTGCGAGTCGATTCAACGCCGTAACGACGTTGATGGTCAATGTGCCGCAATGAGCAGGTTTCCACGCTAAATTTCCTACCTTCTTGCCGCCCGGACGAAGCTTTGAGAGCATGTCATGGAGCCGGATAAGCTTCTCGTCCTCCATTTTCTTTGGTCGTGCCTACAAGTGCCAGTCGAGTCGATGCACGCTTCTGATCCAGTGCTTTTTTCAACAGCGAGCACTGGTGTGGCTGACACCAATATTAAGCGCTGCACTTGCTTTTGTTGACGTGAGTACGGAAAATCATTACCTTCACCACAGTGGTGGGGACAAAGGGACTCTTAAAACCGAGGGAGCACATTTTTTCTCGAGGTTTTATCGCGTCAATCGAGGGTTTTATGTCTCCTGGATAGTGTCATCAGTCTCGGTGGATGAGCAAACTGAAGCAATTTTGACCCGGTTCTTGTTCGTTTTTCGAAGGACCTTCGTATTCCGATAGTTTGTAGAAGAGTGTAGCTGACTCTTGCTAAGCTTTGTTAAAACACGTTAAAGCTCACTCTACTTTCTTTTAGCCCGTATTAACTTAAATGCATTTTATCTAAATTCGAAAGTGATGGACACCCTTGGCAACTTTTCGAGATGACACTGACCGACAGGTGGCCGACACAGTGTCCTATGCCCACGCTCAAGCACCATTTGCCGCTCTCGCCGGTCGGCAGGTCACTTTGTATTCTGCGTCATCGAGGGAAAGCCAACAAGCAAGACCGGTAGCATGAGCTCTACTCCAAACACTTACACTGACAAGGTGCGCACACCTGTAGCCGAGGGTGCGTACTACAACGACGAGACCGCGTTGCGCGTCGACCTGTCCGCTCCAGACACGGATAACAAGAAGGACGACGGTGATGGATCCGTGCCAATGGATAAGAACGGCCGCCCGCTGGTCAAGTTCCTCAAGTGGCACATGACTCGCAAGCAGCGGATCCTACTCATCAGCGGCCTCGTAATTCTCTTGATCGGTGTGATCCTCCTCATCGTATTCCTGGCCATCATCCCGGCCATCATCCAGCACTACGTCAACTCTGTGGAGCTCGCAATTAATTACCTGGACGTCAAGAGCATTCCGAGTGACACCTCGCTTAACGTCGAGCTCAGCTTTAACGTACAGCACGACATCGGGATCTCCGCCTCCACGGATGATATCACGGCCTCGCTGCTGTACGGCGGTGTCACTTTTGGATCCGTGGTGATCCCCGGTCTTGACATCAAGACGGGCGAGCAGAACTACAACTTGACGGTGGACGGGTCGCTCTCATTAACCGATATCAACGCCTTTAATTTAATGGCTGAGGGCCTCGTGGAAGACTCGGAGATCTCGCTCGAAGCCACGGCTACTATCAAGGCACATGCCCTGGGTCTGACGTACGGCGGCCTGGACTTGAAGCGCACACTGCCGCTGAAGGGCTTCAGCCAGTTCAGCGACCCCGCCCCGGAGATCGACTACATCGACTGGTTCGGCTGCACCAACGACGTGTACCAGATGGACATCAACGTGACGTTAACTAACCCGTCTAACATGGGTCTGGACGGCATCGGCGCGCTCAATCTGAGTCTGTATTACGCTGACAGCTACCTCGGCTATGCCGAGTCGCTAAAGCCTGAGCTGGGTCTGCCGCGTGGCGAGAGCGTGCAGCTGTTCCGTGCTACAGTGCCACAAGACTCGACGGCGCTCACAAGCATGGCGCTGGGCGTCGTGGGTGGCAGCGCACATTTCTCCATCGCAGGCGACAATCCGTACTCGACAGAGTACACGCAGTTCCAAGAGGCTATTAGCAAGGTCAACATGAGCATCATCTACACGGACGGTCTCTCCAATCTGGGATTCAACACGTCGTGTAATATCCTCTCGCTCCTCGCTTAGGACAGCGAAGTTATTAGATCGTGGTAGTGATACAGTAGCAACCGCTATTAATAGTCGAGCTTGTAATAAAATTCAGTTCGAGCATTGATAAATCATCATGCAGTCTGGCAGATCCTGTGCACGGGGGGCAAATCGTGAGATGAGCTAATGCTGTCGGTGCCCTTCGCATTATTAATAGCTGTCGGCGACAGGCTTGTCAAGTCCTACAGTATCCGATAGTAGCGGACTGATATTAATAGGTTTGCACTGGCGGCGTGCATCGTGCGACAGTGTACGCTAGTATATTGCTTCACAAGTTTATCTTGTAAATAAGTCGAGAAGTTATATTATTTTTCACGAAGACTGGCCAGTTAATAGCTCCGGTCTAAGCTTACACAACTTGGGCGGCCACATCGTTGGACTCATGAGCGTCATCGTCACTCGACGATGCTTCGGCCTCACGAGCAGTCTGGCGGTGCCAGGCGTTGACCAGCTCCAGCTTGCGTGCTGTCTCGGTATCCATGGCCTCATCGTCGTCATCGTGAGTAGAAATCGTCACATCCTGATCGTCCGACTCGGAGTCAGCAGTGTCATCGCTGCTGCTTTCCAGAAGCCCTTCCTTGGCCAGCTCGTCCAGCTCGTTGGCCTCGGCCGCCGCAGTCGGAGCAGGCGAAGACTTGACGAAGCAGTTCTTCACATTGACCCAGTTGAGACCGATACCGGCAAAAGACAGACCCAGACCCACACTTTGCTCAAAAGACAGCACGTGACCGAACAAGAAAACCGAGAGCACGATACTCAACACCTTGCGGCACGTTCCGATGATAGCCGTGGTCAAAGCACCGAACTTGCTGATGGTGAAGAAGATGAAGGCCTGACCAAAGGCTCCGGTCAGGCTCAGCATCAGGAGGTTCGGCAGCGACGGCACCACATACTGCAGAAATACCGGTACTTCACCATTCACCACCATGCCTACAGCCGAGAACAAGGCCTTGTAAATGTTGACGTAATACATAAGATCGAAGGCACCAACGTGGTAGGCCTCCATAAATTTATCCTCCAGCGCACCGGTAGCTCCGTCGAACACGAGAGATACAACCAGAAGCGAGAAGCCCAGCACCATATTGGGTGTGCGCTCCTGCTCCGGTAGACTGTTGTGGCTCTCGTTGTGCTGCACAGAGTGATGCTGCTTCTCATGCGCCGTACCCAGCAGAAATATCGCCACGCCGATACACAGCACAATAACCGACACGTACTTCTTGAAGGCGTATTTTTTGCCGAGCAGTACGCCCATGATCATGACCGGAATGGACTTGCACGACTTGCCCAGAATACGCGTGATGTACGTCACATACCGCAGCGCCACCATCGACGCGATTGTCGAGCCGAACGCCAGCGCACCTACAATCGCCAAGAAGCTCTGAGGCATTGTCGACGGCTTTTCCTTGCGCGCGCGACTCAGCCCAATGGCTACGACCGAGTTGAACACGCAGAAGACGAAGGTCATGGACAGCTCGCCCAGCACGCGGTGCGTCGTGATCTTCTCCAGCACCACGCCATTAAGCGTGAACGATACCATGATGCCGATGCAGCAGTAAGCCAGCAGCCACACGCTCTTCTTGTTGGATTCCTGCTCCGAGACCTGGTTCGCCTCGGAAAGTCCACTGTTGCGCATGTCCACGACCGTCACACCACTGGGGAGACGCTTGGGCTCTTGTAGCGATGACGCCGTGACCTTATCGTCTAGCACCACCTCAGCGTAGTGCACACGCTCATGCGAAGAGGAATCCTCGATGCTGCACACCATCCTTGCTGCTCAGATGTGTGGCTGTGATGCTCCGTCAAACCTGCACGATGATGCTGTTGACCAGCGATCCTGATTGTCACGCTTCACCTCACCAGCGTCAAGAGATTCCACTTGTGTCGAGAATAGAGAGGTCCAGTGGCCGCGTGGGCGTTAGATGCCCTGGCGTCGCCAGAGGTGCACAGGGTGGATGCTCTACCAGCGGAGACTTGCCAAGTGCTGCGTTGCCTTGCTGCGCACGCTGATTGGTGGCTCTAATTGACCAATTGCTGGCACGAAACGGCGTAGGTCAGCACGTACCCTGAGCCCATTTTCCGACCTATTTCGTTTTTAATCTTTTATTAGTTTCCACAGTTTAAAAACAAATTCTGCGACGTTGGCTAACTCACTTGCTGGAAGTTGCAGCTACAATACTGTTGTGTACTAGCCGAGTGCCGCCGCTACGCGACGGGTAAGAATAAATGTCGCTCCTTGTGTTTTGCCTCCGTTCTGCTCGCCACGGGCTCGCTTCACTACTCGCATGGTAGGCTCGCAGATTGTGGCTGAGGCGGGCCCATAGGCCCGCAGGGTTGCAGAAGGTGCCGATTTGGGCCGCCTCGCTGCGCTCGGCAGCTTTTAGGCCAATCGGGGCCACCTCCGCTGCGCTCGGCAGCCAGCAGAAATATTTAAATTATTTTATCCAATGATTTGTCCGGAAAAGCGTGACAGGCACGACAATTTAGTGTGACAGACAGGTTGCTGCATTTGATGCTTAAGACTAGCCGTTCGCCGCCGCTACGCGGCGGAGTGGCATGGTTTGTTGGAGATCAGGTAGCCGCAACTTAAGGTGCTTCATGGTGTCGCGTGCTTTGAGAGCGTCGTTCATCCCAGTACGTCGTGGCTTCGTGTAGTCAACCACTTAACTTTCCGTAGTCGCATCCGGCCCCATATAATATAGTGGCTTGGAGCGTTCCCGCTACCCCGTACTACAGTTTATATGTTGTGTCCTTCAGCGGCCCATGCTCTTCCGTGCTCTTTCTGGCTTCGTGGTTCCCTGATCACCCGTGGCACACGCTGCTTATTGATTATGCGCTCTCTCTTTTGGGTTCATGCTCTTTAGTACGGCCTCATTTGTGGCTGCTAACTATTCCCTGTTCTCAAACGTTTTCGTGGGTTGTACCGGCTTCGTGGTACGACGTATTTCGTGGCCGTTGGCCTTCCATCGCCGGTAAGCTAGCCGAAGGGTGCTTTCCGTGATTTGGTGTCTCCACGCAGTCGTGTTGTTCCAGCACCAGTGTATCGGGCTCGTCTGGTGAGGCTCCATCGACCGCATTATAACGCCATCGTGTAATTGTGATATAGTTTTGCTGTCTATGGTATTGTGCTCGCGGATTGCATCTGCATTGCCCGTGTTATCGTGCTCTACACCGGCATCGTCCTCCACAATCGTGATCACCCCGAGCCCCCTTCCATTTCGTGGCTGGTCCGCCGTCCGTGCAATCGAATTTTAATGCGCTACTGTCCTTCGTGGCACGGTAAGCTCAGGCCCCACACTGATATAGTGCTCCGTGGCTCGGTGATTTCGCGTCTTCAGCTTCAGTGGCCGCATTTCTATCATGGTTTAAAGTCTTGGCCACCGTCCCAGTCATCGTTTTATTTTGTGGTGTCGATGCTGGTCTGCTGTCCGTTCTGATGTGAGCTACCGTACAATTGCGCTGTCGGATTCGGTGAGCTCCGGTTCTACCCTAATATCGTGCTCTAATGCTCGGATAATCTTCCGTTTATGGTATACCGCGGCATCATGTTTGGTCAGTCGACTGTGCTCCGTGTTCTACCGTGGTGCCATGTAAGAATTGCTGTCCGTGCACTCCTACCACAACGTGCTCTACCGTGGCTTCAAACGTGCGTGCTCTTCCGTAGCCGTGCTTTTTAGCATGCTGGGGTGTCTATATATTTCGTTCCCTTCCGTGGCCCGTGCGCTCCCTTTATATTCTTGTCCTTCGGTCCTTTTCATTGCTGCGTGCTTTTCCGTCTTTCACGCTACGCATAAAACCTCGTGGATTGCATCGGCTAAGTCTTCTAGCATCGTCCATGGCCTTCCGTGCTTCGTGTTGCTCTTCAATCCCAGCGTCTACTTAGTGTGGGGGTCGGTGTTCCTTCGTGTTTCGTGTTTTTGCTTTGTCACGTGCCTCCGCGCTAGCTTAGTTACAATCGCTGCTCCCATTTTGTTTGATGTACGCTACGTATATTGCTCGGAAAGTTCGCACAATACCTTAAGGTTGCACACTACGCGCGCAAATACAAAGGAAGATGATACTTTTTCCCGGAGGCAGTGTGGGGTGCAGGGGTGTAAGCCACAATAGTCATATTTTAAAGTTTTCACACTACTATTAATAGTAATAAATATCGATTTTTTATTGAACGCTAGTAAAATAAGTATTTGTACTACTACTACAATTAACGGTAAGCAAAAATATGAGATGTCTTTAAAACAGTACTACGCAACAGTTTTGTTAGTTTTACTACTAGAAAATTACTACAAAGATAAAACATCATTTTAATAGCCATAAGTACTAAAGTTTCGATTTAGGCCGAAATATGCGTCACCAAAGCCTACATTTCTTTTCAACAGCTCCTACAACGATACAGTACGTGTGTGCCCATCGGCGCCTTATACTAATGCTAACTAACGCGCACACAGGCAGCGCCCTTTGCGTGGCCTTGCAGACCGCAGCTGAAAATGAGAGCAAGATGAAATTTAAGCGGTGCTTTTAAGTACGATGTGTAGTCCACATACAGTGTGTAAAAAACACAATGTTGATTTTAGCCAATGGGGGCCGCCTTCGCTGCGCTTGACAGCTTTTTAGCGAATCGACGCCGCCTTCGCTGCGCTCGGCAGCCAGTAGAACGCCCGCATTTGCGTTACATTAGTTAACCCTAGCCCGTGACAGAGAGACGGACAGACAACACACTACACAAGAGGGGTAAGACTAGCCGTTCGCCGCCGCTACGCGGCGGAGGTGGCAGGTTTTAGTCCAAGGGGAAATGGGCTCCCGCCTTCGCTGCGCTCCGGCGTAAACATGATTTATGTAAACGTGATGTATTAGATGCATATGAAATTGAACATTCCTACTCCGAACCAAAGATCTGCCTGTAGACAATGTTCTGGGCGTAGACCCCATCCTCCTCCTCTAGCTTTGGGTACTCGACCAGCGCCTTGAATCTTGATCTTGAAGTAACTCGCGACATCGCAACGTACAGCTGCCCGTGGGAGAAGAAAGGCGTAGCAAGATACAGCCCCAAGTACTGCACCGTTTGTCCTTGCGCCTTGTTAATCGTCATCGCACAGGCCGGTTGGACAGGAAACTGCTTGCGTCTCAAATGAAACGGAAAGCTCCGAATGTCTCCGTCACTGATGAAAACAATGCGGGGAATCAACACATGTTGCCCTTGTCGCTCACCGGTCATAATTGTGGCGTGGATGACATGTGGCTTGAGGGCCACAATTCGAAGCCGTGTTCCGTTGCACAGCCCTAGATCTGGATTCAGGTTCCGCATCATCATGATAGGCATTCCTACCTTGAGGGTCAATTTGTGGGGAGGCATTCCACTGATATTCAGTGGAGTACCTCCTGCTCGAAGAAATTGCCGTCACCGTCGTCTTGTACAGAGTCGGAAGACATGTATTCCCTCGCCTGTTCAGTTAATCGATCGGTCACCGCTTCATTGATGAGGTGCACGATTGCGTTCGTGGTCGTGAGGATCGTTTGGTTAGCGAAATACTCGTCGGTAGCAACCTCGGGGCTATTAATCTCGCCATACATCTCGTCAATGATCCGATCCATGCCTCTTGGAATAACGCCCGGACGAATTTCCTGGTCCTCGTCCTCTGGCACAGGAGGATTCTCAATCAGCATATCGCGCGGGATCTTCATGTAATCGCTTCCTAGGGAAGGAGTTACATCATGCCTTCCCTCTTCGACTTGCAGCAGGAACTCGGAGAACGCAGCCATTTCCTCAGCTGTGTCTGCAGTATCAGCTGTGCGCACTCGCATGTTTTCCGTAAGACGGAACGTCTGGAATTGGGGCCACAGCCTAGACGACTTGAGGCAAGCGTCAATTGTCTCTACGGGTGTTCCATTCTTAACGACCGGGAGAATCTGGTGGAAATCTCCCGAAAGTACAAACACTTTCCCCCAAAAAGCTCGGTATCGTTATCAAGTATGTCCCGCAGTGTTCTGTCTACTGCCTCGAATGCGTGGCGATGAGCCATAGGTGCTTCGTCCCAAATAATCAAACTTGCATGCTTGATCAACTCCTGAATATGGGAGTTCTTCCTGATACCGCACGTCGAGCTCTCGTTCAATTTCAAAGGGATCTTGAATGTAGAATGCGCTGTCCTACCACTCATAAGTAAGAATGAGGCAATACCGCTAGACGCCACAGCGATGGCGATTTTCCCCGAGAGTCTGACTTTGGCCAGTATGTTTCGAAGCAGTGTAGATTTTCCAGTACCACCCGGGCCGTCGACAAAAAATAACTTCTTGCCTTCCTCCGGGCATTCAACCGCTTCAATAATCTGGTCGTAAACCACCCGCTGACTTTCGTTTAGCTGATCTTCTGTGCTTACAATCGCCTCCAAAGCTGACGCATCGTATCCAGTGAGCTCACGTCGTAGTAATCCGTTTTGGCGAAGCGCTTCACGAATCAATGTTGGGAACGACCCCAACTGAGGAAGTTCGTCGAAGTCAGCTACCGCATACCTACTCGATTGAAGTAGTTCTTGAATGCTCATCAGCGTTTCAAATTCGACCAACACCGACTTGAAGGGGTCCATCAAAGCCTGATGTTTGCGTGCGAAGTCTTGGGAAAGATCCGCGAAAACCGATCTCATAGAACACTAACATTTGCTGGAGCTGAATACACCAGAATGGTGACGAAGAGCTGGCGTAGTTGATAAGGCATTTGGAAGTCAGCCGCTTCCCTCAAACACGAAACCCACTCGTTGTCATTCTCTAAGTAGC